CAATCTCTTTGTTAAACATAATAACAACAAATAATTAAACAACAGATTTAACACTTTCACTGTTCGATTTTCAGACACAATAGTAATACAATAACAATGACCTATATGTAGTGCACGGGACAGCTAAAGGGTAAGTTATGAAATGTTTTGGAATATTTTGAAAAATATATCTTAACTTAACTCTTTGGCTTAACTTTTGCAGTCAAGAATGATAAAAAGCCGATCTCGACGCTTTCGATGAATATTGGCAAAACATCAGCCAAGCAGAAAAAAATTAAATACGTCACTCAATAAGTTTTGAGATATACAAAAAGTATTCTAGACAATATTAATACTTATTTTACATCTTTTCAAAATATTCTCCATCGTGCTTTATACAAAGTTCCATTCGCCTAAGCCAACTCTAAAAACACTTTTGCCAGTCTTCTGACCGGTCGGAAATCGCTTTTTCGTAGGCAGCCACTGCTTCTTCAGCGCTTAAAAAAAACTTGCCTTTTATTTTCTCTTTGACTCTTGGGAACAAAAAGAAATCACAACGAACTAAATCAGGGCTTTAGGGTGGGGGTGGGTGACATAGAGTTTCAACACCAGATTCCTCAATAAATGCTTTTGTTCTAAGGGAGTTATATGAAGAGGCGATATCGTGATGCAGCATGATTACTCGAAGCCCGGTCTTTAGTACTCTCTCCCGCACAGCTTGAAAAGTTTTGGGTAATGCAACTGTAGTATACCATTCAGAGTTGACTGACCTACAATTTTCCAGAATTGACGTCGACAAAATCCGCTCCGCGAAAAAAAAACCTAGCCACCATTTTTTTGCCGAAGTTGCGAGGTCTTTGCAGTTTTGTCGGTAACTGTCCTTCTGAGTAGTCCCATACCGATGATTGCCTTTTCTTTTCTGGATCATATTGATTGATCCATGTCTCGTCACCAGTAAATATTTCTGAAACACGCCTAGATGCACCATTTTCAAAACGCAGACGATTTTCATAGCACCAATCTACACGATTCTGTTTTTCACTTTCGGAGAGCAAACGAAGGATCCATCGACAACAAAGCTTCCTCACTCCAAGGTGTTGATGTTAAGTAAAAAAGTAAAGTTGCAGCCTATTACGTCCCACTGCTGAGCACAGGCCTCCTCTCATTTCTGAGAGAGTTTTAGGGCAAGGAAATATCCGCCGCGCTGTCTCAATTCGTGTTGGCGAACTTCACATGTCTTCGAAAATATATTTTTTTCTTATTTGTCAGACATGCAGGTTTCCTCGCGATGTTTTCCTTCATCGCCGAGCCCGTGGTAAATCAGCACTTAAAATTGCAATTAACAATTTCATTGGTGCCGGCGGGGATCGAACCCGGGTTGCTCGTGTACTGTGAAGCTTACAGCTAACGCTAGCAATCTGAGCTACCACGGCTCTGAATGTTGATGTAGTATGAATGCTCCCCGAACTAATGCCTACAATCTTTTGTCCCTATATGTGACTCGTGGGTCTTCTCGCACCAGAATTTCAGTAGTCCATACATTTTCTACCGTTACTGCTGTTTGCGGGGCCCCGGTTTTTGGTCATATTTAAGATTAATTTCCCTTTTGAATTCAGCAAACCCACTAAAAATTTTTGCGCGTGATGGAGCTGATTCCCTTTATGTTGATTGTAACCGTTGTAAACTTAATTGTTCGGTTAAACCAAATTTAATATCATAATATATCATAGCGCGCAAATGTTCACGGTTAAGATCCATCGTTTTAAATGAAAAGCGCGGGAAGCGTTGCAGGAAAATTAATAGAACTTTGTTTTTTTTTTCAATATTGAGCAATTGGCTTATGGAGTTCTATTTTTAAATAAATTTGCTTTTTAGAAACATATAATACGAGTGCGTTTCATTTTTAAATTTCGAGCATCTCAAACTTATTGAGTGACCTACGGAGGAATATTTAACAAACAGTGATAAATAATGTATTAGAAAAATAACTCCTAAAGAAATTTGGTCTTTCCCTTATTTTATTCTTAAGAAATTTTATTAGCTTTATGTTTGCAATAGAATATGGCTGATCAAATTTTATTAGTTTTATGTTTGCAATAAAATATGAATTGTCTAAATCCGCATTACATTCAGCAAACACATCACGTGTATGACTATGTTCGCCTAATATGATTTTTCATAATATGATTGAAACTAACGAACACATATTTCACAATTTAAATCAAAGAAGTTCATTTCACTGCTTCAATAATTTCTTTTCATAATTGCAACTTTTACCAATCAAGATAACTTTTCAGACAGTCTGTGATACTATGCAGAAACAATTTAAACTTGCTTCTTGCTCCCAATAACTAAAACTCAAATACAAATTTGATAATTTGTGGGTATGTTTGATATGTCGACTTAATTTAAGTTTGAAAATTAAATTTTTCATCAGGAATTTATTGAAACTTGTATTGGAATTTACATTTCTTGGAAAATTATATTACAAGTAAGAACTTTTTTTTTTAAATAACAGCTTACAATCATCATGTTACACAAATTAACAAAACAACAAATTAGAAATAGCTTGGTAGCGATCACCTCATTTCCAGGGGTTATTATCATCCATAAATTCCTTAATATTATAATAACCCTTTTTATACAAACTTAGTTTAATAAAGTTTTTCAACTTTCAGTAGGTCAAATTTTGTATATATTCTGGTTTTTGTTGGAAAAACCTATACATCGCCCCAAAAATGAATTACTGACTCGGTGGAGTCGAGTAACTGGTACTACTAGCTTGTGTCTATTCCTAATATTTACAGAATGAATATCACTTATTTTGGTAAAACTACTTTTATTTTTGTGTACGTACATTACATTTTAATAAATATATTGAGAGGCCAAACTTAATATATTAATTTCCTTAAATTTTTGTCGCAGCGACTGTTTAGGCTTTAAATCATAAATTGCTCTTATGGCCCTTTTCTGTAAAACAAATGTAATTTCAGTTTCAACCACGTGTCCCCATAGGAAAATAACATATGACATTATGCTATGGAAATAGCTAAAGTAAACTATTCTAGCAGTTTCAACAGTGATCAGATTTCTAATCTTTTTTACGGCATAGGCTGCAGAACTAAGTCTGGTTGCTAGTTTTGATATATGGGGGCTCCATTGGAGCTTCGCGTCTAGTGTTATTCCAAGAAAAATGGTGGTGTCGCCAAGACTGTGTTCCTGCCCATTTAAAATTACATTAGTATTTAATTGTTTGACATTTGGAGTCATTAATTTCATACATTTCGTTTTAGTGTGTTTTGTGATAGTTCTTTCCGGCAGAGATCACACTTTTGACATCAGATAGGCAAACCAGGAAGATTTTGCCTAAATTGATTAAAACTTTCACTTTTACTTTTAGTTATACTTTACATATATTATTTTGTCGGCCATAATTTTTTTTTTTAGTTTTCCACACCTTCCTATATTTTCCAAGTTTTTATTTAAAACAGCGATTTTTGCGGACTAATTGGTGGTAATAGAGGTAGAAAATAAAGTTCGCATTTATTTGGAAAATGTTTATTCAATAGGTAAAACGTAAAATATACAAAAACTAGCCTGTATGTTATTATAATTATGGAGAGTTGCGTGACGAACATGGAGTATAAAAGTATTTAATCTTATGTTATAATTTAGGTAATTCCATTTTTAAAATTATCATTAATCTTCTTAATATTTTTAAACTACATATTGTATTGTATCAAAACATATTTAAGTGTTATTTCATTTTACTATCACAAGACGATAAAAACAAAAAAAATACTAAATACAATGCCGCCGTACACACAATATTATAGAACCAATCTCAGCTTATCCTGTTACAACGGAGGCCATTATAAAAGCTAAAATTTTGCAAAGGTCTCTGTCGTTAAAATGAACACTACATTGCTTATTGATGTCCTGAGGCCAAACGCAATGTATGCGAAATATAGACAGCCCAGACAGCATTTTTGGCACTACCGCGAGGAGCGGGAAACATTTAATAATTTTTGTTTCTTTTTTTAATGTTGAATATCTTTAAGCAAATGAAGATATCTAATGAATATCCTTATTTATTTAAACACTATAGCAACACCGTTATAACACAGCTATCGCGTTATCAAAATAATGACATGTATAACTAATTATTTAAGTCGAAGTTGAAGTACTATAACTTTAATGTCCTATGCATGTTTATATTACATAACTTAATTAAAGAAAATATTTTGTATAAAATATAAAGTATATTGCATCTAAATTATGGCATACTAGATTTAATTAGTACCAGCTTATACACATGCAGCTTAACTATCTAGATACATTAAAATTACTACTTATTAGTGTATTATTGAGTATGTAAATGAGCGAGATAAAAATACTATTGATTTCAACAAAAAGGTTTTTGCGAAATATCCACTAAGATTGTTCATCTTCACCTTATTTTAGTCCGAATTCCACTCCTAACCATGGACTTCTCCCACACAAGGAGGAGGGGGAGGAGGACTAACTTAAGATATTAAGGTAAAGCTAAAAACTACCTTATTAACCTAAATATTAAAGTTCATTAAATAACATTTCACCGAGTAAAATCGAAATTCTATCACATATAATCAGTGTATTCGAATTTCGAAAGTATTGTTGCTGGGATAGCGCAAAACAATAGAAAATGAAAAGAATATAATATACATAGTTTGTGCGAAAGATCAAGGCCACAAGGCGCATTTTCTGTATGAGTTCTACAAATAAAAATATTAGCGCTTCTAGTGCTTGATCTGGTCCTGTTCTGTCTACAACACACTTTAACATCTAGCGCTTAACTAAATGAACCGCCACTGCAGTTTTGTTTGCACTGGTGAAATCATTGCGGTGCGGTGCAGCCACCGCATTGCACTGTGTGGCTTTGCTCTTATGGTTGACTTTTACAATTGATCCAGCGTTTTAAATGAAATACAAGAGCTTAAGTAGTACGTCAAATTACTATTCACACTGAACTATTAAAAGATTCAGGAGCACGCTTCACATCTGACAAGGCCCACTTCATCACAGTTCATGCATTTAAGAGCAACAAATTCGGCGGTGAAGTGGTTCCGATGGAGGCTCTTCTTCGAGCCGTTGCAAATGCGACACGGAAGAAGACGGAAGCCACCGCAGACTTGGCACGTGTTGCAGGCATCGGGACTCTGAAAATGCAAATACAAGTTGAATAAATAAAATTAAACGGGCTTGCACGAATGTCTATTTGTTTGACGAATTTGAAGATATTTTTCTACATTGCCACACCTAAATCAAACTTTTATCACACCATGGACTGCCCAATAATGGAGTTAAGTCCGCTCTTCGTATCCTTTGTTGACAAATAAAGTAATAAGGAATGAATAAATATAAACAAGTCTTTTGAAAATATTGAAAAGATTAAAGAAAATGATATTAATGCTTGTCAAAGAAACACTCCTAAACTTAAGTATTGACCATTGCGTTGAAGGCTATTCAATATGCACCTTCATGCTGCGACTACTTCCTAACATATATTTTGTATATTATTTCTTATATTTGAATAGAAGACCTAGCAATTATAATGGTGAGAGTTTGACGGTATTCTGTTGGGGTTATTCATAATAGCTTCTTTCCATCTGGCATCACAGTTACTGCTGACTACTATTATCAAGAATTGCAAATGATAATGTTAAAGCTGGCATTCAAGCAACCCAGATTGATGGACTGGTCATCGCCATTGCTTCATCTTGTCATCTTCATGACAATGATTAGCCACATACTGCATAAGAGACGTTGGCAAACTTAGCAGAGCTAAAGCTAGAGAACCTAGCTCATCCAACATGTTCTCCAGACCCTTTTTTAAGTTTAGATAACCATTTGATAGTCAAAAATTTCAACTTCGAATAAGCAGTAAAGGACGAAGTGTCAACAAACTGCCCATACAATAAAAATAATGTTATAAATATTCTTTTTTTTAAGGTAAATAATCAGATTTATTAAATTTTTACACACATTTAATCAATTAACCTTTACCCGTCCATTGCGCAACATAGACCTACCCTCATATGATACAATATTTGACATAGTTGCCACTCTTGGCAAGCGGGTTGGTAGCCGTCAGTTTTTAATTATAAATATTGCATTATTTTTCGCATCTCCATCGAGCAGAAGATGCTGCTGATCATCTCTTCTTTCAGTTTTGCTCCGTCACATCTAACGGCATCTACAAGCTAGTGTGAGGTACAGGGGCGTAGCTCCTGCCGTATCAGCCGTATCAATGATATGGGGCCCCCGGGCTACAGAGGCCCTGAACGTATATAAGCAACAATTCTAAGGACTTCTATGGGACCTCATTCTATGGGATCCTAGGAGTATTAATTGTAAGTAATAACTTATAATCAATATATAATTATTTTAATTCAATGCGAAAGTTTTTGTTCCTTTTGCGAAAAATCTTTACCCTTTATTAGGGCCCCCTGACAAATTTTGATACAGGGCCCCTCTAAGGCACGCTACTCCACTGGTGAGGTAGTAGATTCACAGTGTAGGGCCGCGTAAAAGAATCAATCTAATAATTCAATTATATAATAAAGAATAATTAATTATTTCAAATGTGAACGAACAAATAACAAAAGCCGTCACAAAATAGAAATCGGTACAAAGCAAAAAAAAAAAGAAAGGAAGCAAACTTTATCAGAAATTTAAAGCCAGTTGCGACAGCAAAAATTAATTCTACAAAATAAGGAAAACCAGAAAAAGTTCACAAAAAAGGGTCATTCACCGTAAGGAAACAAAAAGCTGTGAACTTTACTGTACAAAGTTTGAAAAGGGAATTTGCGTTTGAATTTGAAGCAATAAATACATTTTCAAATACCAAACTATAGGAAAAAGTATAATTAAATTATGATTTTTTGTTACTGCATAGTATTCAACATTTATCTGCAATAACAATGAAAACAGCTTATTCAGTGAACAGTTAGTTCACTGAATAAGCTGTTAGTACTCTGTCGTTTTTCAAGCATTCAGCAAAGGAGTGGAACAATTTGCCATCCGACCATCTTTCCATTCGACTAAAATGTGCGTATCTTCTAGGCAAGAGTGAATAGGCTTTGGATTTTCGGCTGCATCACCACTTACTATCAGGTAGGAGAGTAGTCAAGCACTAGCTTATGATGGTTTTAAATGTTAGATGGTATAGATCAATCTCGAAATTGCCAGCATGATTAGACCTATCGTATCTTTGACAGAAGTATTGTTTCCAAGGACAATCTTAAAAAAACTTGTCGACTTAAAACTGCGTAGTGCTTTTGTACTTATTACCCCTTTCTCACGATATTTATTATTGTTTCCTGACAGATTAAGTTCGGCTTATTTCGTTCTTTTTACAAAATACATTAATGAAGATTCTACGTATTTTTTTTTGGTAAAGTAGTCTCTGTTATAATTCGTGATGAATAACCCTTACAAGAATTATCAATCACTAACTTAGCTAAAAATTTCGCCTACTTGAAATAATCTTTTTAAATTTCTTATAGCTACATATAATCATCATGATTAATTATTTCAGCCTTTTACAAGTCTGCTGCTGAAAACGGGTATTGCTCAAGGAAATTAGTAAAACACGAGCATCAGCCACTTGCATCCATCGATTTATAGCTAGTCCGTCAGGCTATTAATATGTCATTAGATGGACGCCCTAAATAAATGTATGGCTAAACAAAAAATATTTTTTAACTACATCTCTAGAATCTATTTTGTACTAGGTGGTAGTGGGTCTCCTCTTGTACCTCGAAGTGTATCGGTGCAGGTATGACTCTCTTACCTATTTCTGCCGCCAAGCATCAATGCACCCACTATTTTTTCGAACAGCCAGTATAAGACATGAGTTTAGCGTCGTCAAACCTCTTTACGTAGAAAATCAAAACGTTGTAAACGCGCATCCTCACCGTTGCCCAAAGTAATAGCTATCGTTGCTAATTCTCTTACAGATAATTATAATAGCCAACCGTATATTTAATAAAATAAAAATATTATAATTTTTACGACAACAACACTCTTAGCTCTTTCTTACGCTTTCTTCTAAATAAAATAACTTTCTCACGAATTGATAATATTCAAATCACAATTTCTATTAAGGTCACTTTAAATATGATTATTCTCTGCGCTGTAAGTTATTAAATCTGTTTCTCACATTATTTATTTGTGTGTAAGAATAAAGAGAGAAAAAAGAGCTACAATCGATTAAACGGGCACATAGTCGTATACATATTGAACGGGGATGATACGGATTAAAAAAGGTTCTCGAGTGGCAGCCTCGTACCGGTAGGCAAAGTGTAGAGCGTCCCCCCTTTAGATGTAGTGACGACCTGGTAAGACATGCAAGAAGACGATGGATGCAGGTGGTGGACTTGTGAAGGGCTGTAATGATGATGATGATGATGATAAGGATTAAACTCAATAAATACGGGTATCATACGTTCTAATTGGTGTGACTGCCGTGTTTTTATATGTTCATAACACGTATGACAAAGTATGAGCCGTTAGTGGACCGAGACCTCTAGAGGTTAGTTGCAGGTTTTCATGGGGTCAGGTGGAGAGTTAGCTCATTTGTCATGTCTCTTTATAATATTACAAAAAACATCGTTCAGCTGCCAAGTTGCAAGGTCGCAACTTGTACTACCTGCAAATAAATGTATCCGAGATGTTTGGGATTAATTCCTAGCGTGTAGATAACGTTTTTAACTGATGAATTAAATAAATTTTATCAGCTTTACAAGAGTTCAAAGGTACACCAGGAAAAAAAAGTCTAAAAACTATCTATGTATTTCTATACTTTTTGCCAAAGTAGCCAAAGTAGTTGATTGTTAACTTCGCCTAATTTATAAATAGTTACTCCGTCGTACAATAAGGATTTACGGCTACCTTTATTTATTTTTTACCATGTCCATCCAATATTTTATTTATTTTTATAATATAATCGATTACGGTAACAATTTCCAAATAATCGGAAGCTTCCGATAGTGCACATACACTACACTACACTCGAAACTACACTCCACTAGATGATGTGAAGACACGACAGGCAAGAAATCGATGGCTGAGGCGGCCCAGGACCGTGCTTTGTAGCATTCTTTGGGGGACCTATATTCAGCAGAGGAGTTAGTTAGTACAACAGTTACAGCCTATATACGTCCCACAGCTGGGCACAGGCATCCCCCCCTCATTTCTGGGAGTCATTTAGGGCAAGGAAATGTTCGCCGCGCTGCCCCAATGCGTGTCGGCGAACTTTCTCAGACATGCAGGTTTCCTCGTGATGTTTTCCTTCACCGCCGAGCACGTGGTAAATCATCACTTAAAATTGCAACTAACAATTTAATTGGTGGCGGCGGGGATCTCGCGTACTGTTAAATTTACAGTGAGCGCTAACCGTCTGAGCTACCAACAGTTACATAGTATAGTCCCATACAATGTTCCCACAGTTTCAAGGTTTTCTTAAAGATACAAATTTTAAAATTGATTCTTAAAAGTAACATTGATTCCAAAAGGTAAAACATAACTACGGTATCACGATGGCAAGGCTTGTATGCGCACTCCTCCCCGCCCCTTCAATTGTTATAGCGTCTTTTTGTCACAAACTGAATTCTACGCGCCAAGCAGCGGGTACTGCTGTTATTAAATATATTATATAGTCAATTAGGAAAGTAAATTACAAAAAACTAACATACCTTATATGGCTTCAGCATTTTTCGCAGTTCGCCGCACTCGTTTAGCTTCTCAACTGTATCTGCGTCCTGGAAAATAATAGAATAATTTGATATAGGTATAGTAGCTGAGACTTAATCGTACACTAGATTTGGTTTTTTATTTTTCATTCATAATAGCATATCAAAAGTCCATCCATAGATTGCCCCATATGGGAGATATTCGCCATAGGTACCACGCTAGGCAAGCGGGTTGGTAACATCAGTTTTTGGAGTTGTTTTCAAGAAGATGCTACTGTCCATCTTTCACTCTGTCGTCCCTTACGACACCCCCGAGATGATATGGGGTAGTAAATTATTATCTTACACCGCACCTACACGGCGTAAACTATAATAAATAAATATAATCATCATCATCATCTTCATCATTACAACCCTTCACAGGTACACTGTTGAACATAGGCCTCCTCCAAGGAGCCCCACAAAGCACAGTCCTGAGCCACCTGCATCTATTGACTACCTGCAAGTCTTACCAGGTCGCCACTTCATCTAGTAGGGGGACGCCCGACACTTCGCCTGCCGGTACGAGACTGCCACTCTTTTGCCCATCGGTTGTCGGTTCTTCGAGCTATATGGCTGGTCCATTGCCACTTTAGCTTACTATTACATTTGTAAAGTGCATCCGTTGTAAATATAATACGTTACAAATGTTGTGTGGTAGACTGAATGTTAAATTAATGTAGGTACATGTCGGTTCCTCGGTTAAGTAAAAGTCCCCCAATTAGCAATGTATTGCAGATATTACACTTCCCCATTTAGCCTTGTAGTAGTATCTATCGACAGCTATAACTCACTTTGAATAAAGATGGCCACAGATTATCAATATAGAGGACTAAGATAAGCTGCCTGGGAGTCTGTAATTGCTCCTATATGACTAAGCAATTTAAACATTTTTATGGAACGTGTTTGAGAACATCGTGTTTATAATTGTCTTAGTTTATATTGACAAATAATCACATATATAGACATATTAGTTATTATGTGAAGAATCGACGCTCCGGGAAGTCTGCAGTCTGTGAACACGTACAGGATCGCCCCCGTCACTACATTAGATTTGATAGACCACAAATCCTCGCTAAATAACACCGATTCCTTCCAAGGATGATTCGCAAGGCTATTGAATTCAAAAAACATCCTAATTTTAATAGATAAGATGGCTGGGTGCTAGCTACCATCTCCTTGGGATCCCATAATTAATAAAATTAAATCCCAACCCAAGCATACAACTGCAAGACGTGCTGAAAAGTGCCCGAAACGTCGGTAATATAAAATAAGTTAATGTACTTGATGGGATCCGTAAAATTAGTTTTATTTAAACATATTAGTTTTTTTTTTTATAATAGAATAGAATAGAATGATGTTTTATTCAATGTGGATTATTTCATTATACTTATTGTAAGTCATTTTTTATTTATCACTGGTTCGGAAAATATCTCTGTCCTAGAAAGAACCAGCGAGAAACCCAGCGGGACTTTTTTGTAAACATATTTCACTTTATAATAATTTTGTTTGTATAATTTTTAAATGAATTTTAATAGAACCAGCATGGTGGCGATCACCTCATTCCCAGGGGTCATTTTCATTCGTGTATTTCTTGATGTTATGATAACCCTTTTTGTACAATTTTACTTTAATAAAACTTTTCTTTAATAAATCTTGTTTATTGACAAACTTTGAACATTTTTTGGGATTTTATTGTAAAAGCGTATACATTGCCCCATATTAAGAAATTCTAATTTAACTTGAAATGAGACAATTCCAAGTCAACTAAGTTTTAAGACATTTTATTAACAGCTGTGTTAACCACCCAATTAATATTTTATAACGATTTAAGAGTGATTAACAAACACACAACCCAGGCCATATAAGTAGATGCTGTGGTCCACATAAACATCTACATATATTCTCGATGTGATAAGAAACGTTGAAAAATGAAAAACGCAGATGCGTTCTCACCCCTGATGTGGACTAAGATAGAATGCGTGTTAGTTACCAGTAAAAAGGGATTTCGGTTCTCATCACTCGCAATACGAAACACAGCTGCGTTATGCTGCTTTTTCACGGTGGTATTATATGCGAGGGTGGTACTTTCCTGACCAACCTATTAGTTCTGCTATTTTATGTTAGAATGTTGCCCTGTGTTAATAAAAGAAAGCCAGTAAGGGCCTTCTTACCGATTAAACTCGAGTCCATCAGGAGTCAAAGAAACCTGCCAAATAGTATCATAAAATAATAAGATTTCTAGCCCTTTATCTTAAATCTTTTGTATTCCAATTTGTAAATTATATTCTTACTTTTGAAAAGTAAGAATATAATTAGTAGTAAAAATATAAAGAATAAGCTATATGCGAATATAGTTATTCTGCACAAAGCTAACATACGAATTATGTTAAAGCCTCAACAAAGATTATATTTCTACATAAAGGATTCTACATCAAGGATTTATTTTAGACTATAAATTACTGGTATTTACTAAACACTCATACTTTCCGTGAGATTTCACTATTGTGGTTCCAAATTAAATACACGAGAATTATATAGTTTTAACACACATCTCGTGCTGTCTCTATCACTTTAAGTCAAAGTGACTGTGACACCACGAGACTTACCTTGAAAACCAGCTTACTTACTCTGAATACCACCCTATTTGGCCAATAGGCTGGTATTCAGAGGTCTAGACTCACTATTTCATTAATAAATGAATGTAGGAACTAACTTTTATAACACACCCTGAACAAAAACTATGTTTTACTATGCTGTACATATACGTATCGTATACAATAAGGTATAAACATAAAATATACCTTAGTTATATACATAGTATACGTAAGTTTTACAGAATAAGGATGACCCATAGACATCCACATCTATTCTCAATTAAGAATCAAAATGCAGATGCGTTGTCACCCACGTTTACAGTAAAAAGGGTCTCCGGTTCTCTACACTAACAATACGCAACGTTAACGCTGGTACTCTGTGAGAGCGTGGTCCTTCCCCGGTCGATTCGAGCTGACCCACTCGTGATACAATTATAATATATTTTCTGAAGTATGGCTCTAACACGTATATAGTTGTTGTTACGTTTACGAAATTAAAATCGTAATATTTTAGCGCTACACAATTTCAGCTAATTACTTTTTCTAGTAAAACTTACAACGGTAAAGTTAAAGAAGTCTCGACTCAACTAAAGTCAAACTAGTCACCAAGATGGAAGATCTTTTCTAAAGAGGTATCAGCTTCTCAATTCGTTCGACGTTAACTACAAACTTTTACCTGCTTTCTTTAAACTAAGTTATGAGAACGCCTGAGAAAATTTTCTCAGAAAATGAAAAACTACGTACAAATAATTGAAACTTTAAGCGCTTGACGTAGAGTATAATTTAGTGCTCCTTTTAATATATTGCACTAGAGCCAAGTTTCAAATAATCTAGGTCAATATGCATGCCCCCTATTAAATAAGGAGAACTTTGCTTTATCTAATGAATGGTTATTACATTGTTAACTCAATTCTGTTTCGAAATTCAATACTTACTACTTATATTTGCAAACATTATCATTATTTGACAGCACCGTGGTTTAGCAATGAGTTGCAACGCTTAGGGCCGCGGGTTCGAATCCCGCACGGAACAAGTATTTGCAAGGCCTTCATATAATTATTCCACGTCTGGATGTTTGTTCTTGTGAAATGTATGTATGTAAAACTCCCACGATACAGGAGGAAAATCTTAGTGTCGGTGGTAACATTCTTCTAATAAAAAATTAATAAATTATGTAGTATATTAAATGTTTGAATGCAACTATTGATGAGTGTATTGTTGTCAGTGAAATTATTGTTTTTTATAAAACTGGACGAGCTTACAGTCCACCTGAGGGTAAAGGGGCTATTGCATTAAATGAACACCTGTAGCCAATTTCAAATAAAGAAGACCACAGATGCATTGCCACCTCTAAGGACTAAGATGGAATGAATGAAATGAATTCACGATGTTTTTCTTCCAAGCTAGCGCTAGTACTAGAGCTAACATATCAGCAATTAAAATTGCAATTAACAATATTGTTGCGCGTCACTATTAATGTCTTGTACATGGCAACACTAGTTACCACTAGCGCCCTCTATTATCGAGTTTCAGAACTAAGAGAGTCAAGATCGTTCTAGAAATTTCGGGAACAATATGTACAGTATTGAATTGGCGATATAAGCGAATACTTCGAAGCGATACAACTGCGAACTTGAGTGATCAGTAGAACAATTGTGTTTTATTATTAGGTGATCTTAAGTTGTAATTAGTGTTCTGTAATTAAAGTGTAAATTTTCGTAATTAACTCGGCAATTTTTAATTGTCTCGATCCCGAAGTTCGTAACAATATTGTTGCTCTGGTTCTGTGAAATTTACAGTAAGCACTTAGACCCTGAGCTACCATAGCTTACATAATTATTATTGATTTGTAATTTATTAGTAACGTTTGTGTTATACGTAATTTTTTTATTCTCATTAGTTATTATTAATGTAACAATAAAAATAAAGTATTAACTCAAGAATAGGTATTATAATACCTTCAATAAAAATAAAGTAATAATCAAGTGAAACTTTTGGCGATTAATTTATTTATTAGTATTGTTATGTATATTACATTGTTATATAAATCACGCTTTCTTATTGACGGCTCCGTGGCAAAGTGGCTTAGCAATGAGTTGCATCGCTGGGGGCCGCGAGTTCGAATCCAGCACGGAACAAGTATTTGTATGGCCTACAAATAATTTTTCCGGGTCTGGATGTTTGTCCTTGTGAAATTTATGTATGTAAACATCCTTCACGGTATAGGAAAAAATCCTGATTTGGAGATAACGTTTTTTGAACTAAAACAAATAAAATAACAAAACAAATAAAAATAGTTATACATCCACGCTGCATCTAAATATTATATGGTCTATGGTCGGCTCGGCTGTGGGGACCACGCTTGCACACAATATCAGCGTAAATATGAGTACGTCGTTGTGTTTTGTATATGGGTAAAGAAACCGCAGACCT